TTCATGAATTAGCAAGAGGACAAGGTGGACCATTTGCAGTGTTAAAATGTAACTGGGAAAATGGCATAAGGGCATAGTATTTGCCTTAAAGGGAAATTACTTAGGTCAAAACTGCATGTGAAGCATGAGACTGTAGTAGCAGCATTGAAAGCCTTTTTTGGTCATCAGGTTGTCTCACAACAGAACGCTTCCTAGAACTGTCTTCTAAGTCTGAAGGCAAAAATTTTAAGAAAGATGCAAATTAGCTGAAGGGCACATGAAAGAGTGAATGTGCAGTGATTTTTCACCTAATTGCAATTTCTTCAAATGGAAAATATGCACCCTGCTTTGCATTAATGGCTTCACTGCAATGATTAATGTCTCTGTGCCTTTCTGTGATTATTTTTCACTTAAGATTGCGGTTGCCAGTAACAGTTCGTCAAAGAAACAAGTGATGGAACATTAGCCACCTCACCAAGCACTATGAAATTTTCTTTAATTAATTAAATCTATGCTGTTGTAATAGCCCCTTCTTCCTAACATGCATTCCCCTCCTTTTCCACAAGAATACACTTAACTTCCAAAATATATTGCAAGATCTTTTATCTTGTGTCTATGGGAGAAGACAATAGGTCCCTGTTTTTATTTATTTGTTTATTTATTTAGTTAGTTAGTTAGTTTTAAGGTTTTGTTTTTTTTCTGTGTGTGACTTCCAAGATCATGTAAATCAGCCCCTGGCAGCATTTCTGGGTTCAGGCTTTTGAGTGTGCTGACAATACGACCTTTAGGAATCATTGCCCTGCAATATGGCAAAGCTGGGTGTATTCTGGTTGGAACTGGGTATCTGGTTGATTGCTGAAAGCTTTGTGAATTTCCTAAGTTAAAGTATAAATGATAGAGAAACCACACTCTAATGCTTGGTTTGTTGAGTGACCCTCTGCATGTATGGAATATAAAAGTAAGTGGATAATCTTTTGAAATTAAAACTAAAAATAAATATGCATATACTTTTATTTTATTTTATTTCATGTGGAGCCATTATTTAAAAAGAAATAAACTGCCAGGGGTTTTGATGGAAATTAATGTGAATGAGGCTATACATTCCTGGAAAGTTACCTAAAAAGTAGTATACTATTATTGGCCTTGCCTTTACACAGATGTGTGCAGGGGCTTAGCCTTATGCCATTCAAGCTCACACTACATCTATAAATCTTTGTAAAAGGACTTTGTAAAAAGACTCTTCTAAACACAATTAGGTGTGATATCATTATAAGTTACAAAACTTCCCCAGAACTAAGAAACTGTACATTCCTGTAAATCAAAGTAATTCAAGTAATTATTGTTTGCTAGAAAAAATAATGTCAGTTATTTAAACTGAATTGAAATTTGACTTCTGAACATATGGGTTAGATTTGTGTGTGGTCCTGCTTCCCTCCCCACCCAAAAAACAAATATAGAGTTGTCAAATATTTTATGACACCAGCTTCTATTCTCTATTATGTACTTAGCTGCTTACAGAAAAAACTATCAGGAGCTGCATCCTCCACAATCTGCTCAGAGAAGGCAGTTTTCACCTATGATGCCATCTAATTTTGAAAACCATGAATTGGTCAGAGCTGTAAACAGTTCCTATTTCATAGGGGTTTTTCGTGCATTAGAGGTAGTAACAAGCTGGAAAACAGAGAATCAAATTTTACAGTTAATTAACAATTTTTCCTGGAATATCTTCATGCAAGCAACAAGGCCAATAATAATAACAGTATTCACACACTGAATCAATACATGAAACTTCAAGCTTGCCTATTATACTCCAAGCATGCCTGATGCCATGGCTGGGAAACCTGCCCCACCAGTTGTTTGTTGTCAAAATCTCCTTTCATTTTGCAGAGAGTAAATAAAAAGAGTTGGTATTAGGAACAACAGGTGAGATTAATTCAAATTGATTTGCAAAAAGCTAAATCACAGTTTTTCAGCCAACCACTTGGATTCATTTCCAAAGCCTCACTTGGCGATATGTGGGGCATTTTCACTGTCAATGGGCAGCAGCTGCCAGCCAGATCTCATGCCTTTTGGACCAGCCAAGTTTGACATGATCTAAACCTTAAGGCTAATGAAGTAACATACAGATTTGAGTGACCCGTCTTTGGTTATACTGCTTAAATAAAAATAGTCCCAGGATCCCCTATATACTAAAATACTGGGAGGGATTCTTTTACTGGGGATTATGTATTCTTATGTCATATTACATGTGACAATTTACACTGATGATTTTGGATATATCTATCATACACATTACTCCTATTCCTACTAGCACTTCTTTGGAAGTAGTATTTTTTACTATGACTTCTGTCTCCCTCCCACACGCAAACATACAATTGTTTGCAGGACTGCTGCTGGCTGCATTTGGAGCAAGTCACTGCATTACTAGTTGGGTGGGGAGGGAAGCAGGAAAGGAGGACCACACACAGATCTAAACCATAGTTTGATAAGTCAGATTTCAATCCAGTTTACGTTACTGGATTTTTTTCCCAGCAAACAATAAACACTTGAATTGTTTTGATTTACTGGTACATAGCATTTCTTAGTTATAGGGAAATTTTATAACCTGTAATGACATCACAACTTCCCTGTAAACAGGAAAGTCGAGTCTCTCTTCCTACGATAATTGTATGGCTTCTGTTATCACAAAGTGCCTCCCAGTCTGATACAAGGCATCCTAACAAGAACTTTAAAGCATGTGAGGACCATCAGTGCCATTGCACAAGGCGCACTGGACCATATGGAAAGTGTCTCTGGCACCCAGGGTGGGCTAAAGCTCCCCCTAAGTGTTGGGCTCAGCAGAGTAGATGAGTGGGGTTGGCTGCAGAGGTGGCAGGCACCTGAGCATCCCCCTGTATTCCCCAAAGGGGGTGCTCATGCCCACAGGGTGTTCAGCTCACACCTATTACACCTGTAAGCTCACATTTCTTTTGCAGAAATAAGGGTCCTGCTGTCTTCCTCAGTTCATGGGGGTGCAATTCTTTAGTGTATTGGAGATGACAGGTTGGAGTTTATAATAGTGGGGTAGACTGTTTTTGAACACAGCTATTGTGTCCTTTCTGATGAGAATGGGAAGTATCAAGAGACGAATGCAGGTTTTACAGGTCAAGCAAGAAGAGAAAATTGTCTAAAGATAAAAAAAGCTGCAGTGTTTGCAGTAAGAGGTGTGGCTGGTAGGACAGACTATTGTGTTCTGGGACAGTGGGTGTTCCCCCTATCTTTCTGCCTTGGTCCACCTTAGAAACACTTAAAAAAACTGAGCCTGAAACATCAACAAAGGCCAAACAGTGTCTGATGGGGTGTTGGAGCAGGGATTTTTTTGTGATGAGACATGAGCATCACAAGTATTGAGCTGGTGAGTTATCAGTGACAGTCTTCAGACACAGGAAAATGCACAATTAGTACAAATTGCTGACAGTCTTTTCCTTTGCTTGTCAGAATAACATCTCTCTTGTTCAGGATGAGCTCTAGGACAGCTGTTCTGCCAAAAGCTAGCTTGGAAATATTATTCTGTTATTATAAGGGTCATAAATAAGGCAACAGTTAGGCAAAGCCTGACATCGTTTCCCCATGGCTGGTACCATTTCCTCTGATCAGTACCCTGCACCTGACAGAAAAAGGTCAGCAACATCCAACATCTTAGGACTCTCCAGGGGAAGAACTCTGCTCTGCAGAGCCTTCTCAAGAGGATTCATGGAAGATTACCTTGCTTCTTGAAATGCCACAAAGAACTTCCAGGACAAAAAGCTGTGAAAACCAGCTTAAGAGCCACAAACATCCTCTTCACTGGGATGTACCCAGCCCCACCTCCCACCCTGGGTGATGACCTGCCTAACTTCCAAGGTGGTGTTCAGCCTCCAAGAAGAGCATTTGCAGTGTCACTGCTGGCAGAGGAGTGTTGGAGTCTTGCCTCCGTAACAAGGGCCTCTCTGACCTTAATGTCAAAGCACAAACTGTAGGGAACATGGTGAGACGCCTCTGGTAACTGCCATGGCTGAGCTATTAGGCCTCAATTCAGGTATGACGCGTATTGCAGTGTCACTGCTGTGCTTTCAGCAGCAGGCAGCACTTTTGGAAACATTCCCATCATCTCAGGAAGGAAAACCGAGTGCTGCCAAGCTCCACAAGCACGGGCACTGCAGTGGGGTGGGAATCCCTTGAGGGCTAGGAGGTGTGTGGCAAAGATGGGCACCGTGCAGTGGTGGCATGGGATGGGTGAGATGAGCCACCCAGCTGCATGAGGGGTTCCAACGCCTCTGCACCTGCTTGGTGGCAGTGGTGGTGGTGCAGGACTCCTGTGGGCCTGTCCTGGTGTCAAACACAAGACACATTTAAGATTAATCACAGAATCACAGACTGGTTTGGGGTGGACAGGACCCTAGAAATCATCTTATTCCAATCCCCTGCAATGGGCAGGGACACCTCCCACTAGAGCAGGTTGTTCCAAGCCCCATCCAACCTGGCCTTGAACACTGCTAGGGGTGGGGCAGCCACAGCTTCTCTGGCCACCCTCTGCCAGTGTCTGTGCAGTGCCTCATGACACTCACAGCGAAGAGCTTCTTCCTAATGTGCAATCTAAATCTCCCCTCTTTCAGTTTAAAGCCATGCCCTCTTGTCCTATCTCTTCATGCCCTTGTAAAAAGTCCCTCTCCAGACTTCTTGTAGGCCCCTTTAGGTACTGGAAACTGCTCCAAGGTCTCCCCGGAACGCAACCAGCTAAAACAAAAGAAAGGGGATAAAAAGACGCCGGGCGAGCGCCGGGGTGACGGCAGAGGAGGCATGCGGGACCCTCACCGCCTCGGTCCGCAGGCAGGGCCGCCGGGGGCGGGGCGGGGCGGGGCGGAGCGTAGCGGACCGGGGCTGCGGGTCGAGGCGGGGACTGGAGCACGGCGGAGTTGGGGCATTGCGAGGCGCTCACCGGCGGGGGGCGGGGGCTCCACCTTCTCCGCCGCAGCGCGGCACCGCCTCCCTCCCGCCACACCTCCCTCCCCGTTCCCCCCGCTGCCCCGCCGCGCGGCTCTGCGTGCGCCGCCCCGTCATGGAGCAGGGGCCAGCGGGGGGGCCCGCTGCTGCTACCGCCGTCACCACCACCACCGCCACCGCCGCCGGCATCGGGGGTCTGCTCCTGCCGCTGAGCGAGAGCGAGCAGCAGCACTACTCCGAGCTCTTCTCGCGGTGCTGCCCGCCCCCCGAGGCGGCCGCCGGGGGCAGCAGTGTGGGCGAGCTGTTCCGGGCCTCGCAGCTGCCTCCGGACACGCTGCACCAGGTGGGTCGGGGGGGGGGGCCGGTTCGCCCCGAACTTGCGGGGTGCAGGGAGGGAGGGGAGCGGACCCGCTCCCTCAGCCCTGCGGGAGAGGCACTGCCTCTGCTCGAAAGTTAAGGGCTGCGCGGTGCCCCTGTGCCTCTGTGGCGCGCTGTCCGCGGCGGTGGGTGCGGGAGCGGGGCACATCCTCTCAGCGCGGCGGCGCGGACGGCGGCGGCGGGGCTGCTTCGTGCCCGCTGTCTTGTCAGGCAGGCTCCCCGTGCTGCTGGTGTTCTGCAGCTGCGTTCCTTGCCTCCTCTCGGGTGCTGGTGCCCGTGCAGCGGCGCGGGGTTCCGCACAGCCTGTGCGGAGCGCGGTGTGCGGGCTGGGTCGGTGATGGTACGGCTTTCTTCAGCCGGGCCCCTGAATCTCACACAGAGGCAGCTGTGTTCGCAGAGCTGTAAAGGACATGTGGTGTGTCCAGTTCCTGCTTTAACACTGGTACTCTTTAAGTGTTAAGTGACAGAAATGCTGTAGGTGAAATGATGTTGCAGTATTTACATGCCTGTTCTTGAGAGCAAATACATTCAGGTTTGAAGTAAGAGGGTCTCATGCGATCAGGGCAGCAGGGGCCCAGAAGTGATCCCCAACAGTGTTAGGGAGACGCAACTCTCCTTAACTGTGAGGAGAAGCTGTCGGCGGGCACGAAGGCTTGTGTCTTCCACTTTCCAATGACAGGGATATACCGCAAGCTGGACTTGCGGTATTCCCCACCTGTGGGTTAGTGATTTGACCAACGCACCATAACTGCATAATACTTCTGACAATAAACTAAACAGGTAGGGTATTCCTGCTTTTCTGAAGTTTTGCTTACAGGAATTCTATTCTTCAGGAGCTCTTTATTTATCAAGCAGAAAAGAGTTACATTGAAATTGAGCTGAAATATACTTCTACCTGGGTACTGCCTGAGGGTACCAACCTCGTCTCCTGCTTTCCTGATAGCTATCAGGTCATCTCCTAATGACTTATATAAATTCACATTATACAGGTGATTATGAATGAAAATTATGATATTTCAAGGATGTTTTCTCTCTCTTACTTGTGTTGTTTACCAGATCTGTAAAATCACAAATGTTACCAAGTACTGTAGTACTACTTCATTTTAAGCCGCACTGGGGCCTTGGTCTTGCAGGTGAATGGGATGGTGAAAGTACATTTTTCATGCAGATCTAGCACCAGGAGTTGGTCTTTTGCAAAGAGGAAGAAGAGGGCATTTAATTTCAAATAAGGTATATTTAAGAAACTTGTTAAAGACTTATTAGTCAATTTGTGTGACTTTGGTATTAGTAATTTTCATTTTCCAAAGAAGTATGGAAAAACCCTCGTATTTTTGCTTTGTACTTCCTTACCTTATCATTTAAGTGAAATTTATTACCATATTATTATCAGAATGTGTTTTGGGGGGCATTTTATAGTATTGTGTGAATTAAGCCTCTGAATTTTGGGGTTTTCTTTAATGCTTTTGTTGGCTTTTACTGTTTTTCCAGGCATATTTATGCTGTGAGGAGAATGTTACTGGAAAATAGCCCTGTAATTGGCTTTAGGAATATTCAGAAAATAAGGGCAGTGGGATCTGGGGATGTTTGGATGTTTGTCTTCCTTCTTAGTGCTGTCCCCCTCTTGTTTATATGGCGTTAATCATAGGCTTTCTGCTCTATGGCTAGAGTGCCTGTCCTCAGAACCTACTGCTGTCAGGTGTTCTTACTAATATTTAATGGAATTCAAGTAAAAAAGAATTAACATAATGTATTTGGGGGGAGGGGAAGAAAAATGGAAAAGTGGTTGTTTTTTTTCAGGGGGAAACCCCCGCAAAGTTGTTTGAGATATTTGCTGATATTTTGTCTTTTATAATACTCTGAAAATGCAGTCTAATAGTTTCTGTTTAAAGAACCCCACCATTCTAACAACTGTGGGAACAGGCACAGAGGTGCATGGTAGATGTTTTCTGCTTATTACAGGGAACACCCATTTTAGGCAGAGGCAGCTTGTGTGGGTTAAGATATTGAACTAATTGTTGACCATGGAAATTTTTTTCCTTTTTAAATGCTTTTTAAATCCTTGTGTGTCACAATTGGTGCTATACAGGCATCCCTACTGACTGGCTGAGAAATGGTCATGCTGAATTTTGCTGTGTCAGAAATGGGAAGATTTGGACTAGAAACCAGTTCTGGATTTCTACTAAGCAGAGCCTGCACAGGTGCTTTACACCATTCCTCGGCTCTTGTGTGGGCTGTGACAAGGAGCTGCTGTGGACCGTTAGTAAGCAACATGCAGTTTACAGCTTTTTATTCTCAAGGTATTAATTGAGAAACAATTTTACAGATCAGTATGCTTCTAGAAGTAGGATTTAGTGCCACTGGACTTGAATTTGTACTTGTGTAATAAGTGGAATAAATCTGTAAGAAAGAATGAGCCTTTCCTTATAGCCTGATGCTCATAACCATCATGGGAAATTTTCCATCTTCGTTAATGGTAATGGCAGGGTTTGCCATCTAGACAGAAATCACGTGGGTACATCCTGGCTGGAGTACTGCTGTTAATATGTCAATTCCTGTGGGAAAAACCAGGGATGCATGCTCCCAGACAGCAAACAGGCAAGGATTTTGATTGGTTTAAAGGTTAGTTTAGCTCATCCGAGAGGCTATTTAGGTGAAAGAGGCTATGTAACAGTGAGCCGGTAGGGAATGTCAGAACATGTGCCAGAAGCGGAAATGCTGGAATAAATGGAAAAATTCCAGGCTATGGCCAGGTCAGTAGGAGCAGATGGTGTGCACCCGAGTCCTGGGTCTTGCTAAGAATGAAGTGATTGAACACAGATTCATTACACCTAGTCTCATTAAAGCTAGCTATTCTGCTGGACAGTAGGGTACAGCAGAAGTTGTATGAACTTGTCGAGTTATTTCAGTTCTGGAAAAATGGGTGAAATTACCACTAAAAATAAAAATGTCAGACACTTTGCAGGGTGGAGAAGGACATGACAGGGACAGAACAGCGTATTTTTTGCAGACTGTATAATCATACCTCCCCCGTGTGCTGAAAGTCTTTGACTAGCCATATAGTGTGGTTAAGGGCAGAACCATTAAGATTTTATTTAGACTTGCACAAAACCTGTGGCAGATCTTTCGCCTTTCATCTTCAGGGGCTTTTAAAGTAACTCTGTAAAATGCCTATAATCTCTTATAGGCAGATCTGGAAGATCTGTGCTAGGATTGGTTTTAGTTTTGTTTTTATTTTATTTATTTATTTTTAACAATATTTAAGTCAAAGGAGGAAGGAGCAGATTAGTCATGTGCCATGAGGTTATGTAGACTGTCCGAAATAGAAGAAACTCATCAGCATCAGCTGGATTTATATTTACCCATGTTGGTCAAGTTCAAGATGGTGCTCCTTGTGGTTTGGCCCCTAATAAAGGAAAAAAGAACTGAATTTATGTGAAGAAAAGTCCCCCCAAAAATAAATGTCTTGAACTCACCAGAGCCACAGAAATATTGCTGAGGTAAAGACAGTCTCACAGTATACTCTGTTACATAGGTCAGTATTGGTAATGCTGCTTGTGTGGCGAGGAGGCTGGCGGAGGTACTCTAGCAGTAGAAGTAAGAAGGGAGAAGTAGCTGCATCTCTGGGCAGGAGGCACTACTGATGGCCATCGGTAGATGACAACAACAGGTTTGCATGCCCACAAGGGCAAACCCTCCCTGGGGTTTCTGGTCTTTTCCTTGGAGAAATCAGCTGGATTATGCTCCCTGTGGGTATTGGCATGTCAGTACATGAACTGCTGTGCCACAGGTGTTGATGATGGCTGGTTTGCCTTGTCTCACGTTGGGAAACCAATTTATGACCCCATTTTGAGTACAGCCTTTGCTCCTTGAGTCCAGGACCCCAAAGTGCCTTTGTTATGGGTGCCAAGTACCAATGGTACTGATGTCTGCATGGATTTCAGATAGAAGAGTGCTTTATAGAGTCATTGCTCACTGATCAGAAAAGGAGAGCTACCTTGTGCTAGTTTTACTGTTTGTTGGTATTACTGTGGTCTCTGGAGATTTTGCCTTAAGAAATTGGGGAATAAGATTGGACTCAAGATTTACACTGAAATGCTTATCTTTTTTTTTTATTCGTTTCTGACTTACTCTCACTTGGTTGTCTGATGGTATCTTTAATTCCCAGTTTTATAAACTTTATTCTGATATGCGGACTTGTGCTATATAAGCATAGAGACCCAAAACCGCATTCTTTCCTCTGCAAATGAACACACTTGTTTTGAGCTCTGAGGGTGACAAATACTAATTGTGTGATGCTGGAGCTGCACAAATGCTGCATTTTTTTTAGCTGGGACTCTCCTTCTAGCGCTCTGTGAATAGAAACACAGACCAGTGATCTTGTCTTTGTGAGTTAATTTGTGTTTATCATGACTTGTCTCTATAGTTACAACTCTACACTGTATCTTTGTGTTCAAAAAAGCAGAAGTGTGACTAGATTAAAAAAACAAATTGCCAAGTTGTTATTTTTTTGTAAAAATGCCACTAAAGTTTGGCTTATTTGTATTTTTTAATTTTTATTTTGGTAAGCATAAATTATTACCTGCATAATAGCTGGGGTGGTATTAACTGTCTGCCTCAGCCAGGCAGAAAAGAGCAAGAACTGTGCCGTTTAAAACAGGAGCTTTTTGAGTGAGGAAAGTCTGGCTACTTTATAGAAGAAAAAATTCACCCTTTTGTACTTCAGGAGAGAAAAGGAAAGGAAAACTGACATTTCAGTATCATCGTATCAGTACTTCTGGCCACAATCCCCCAAACTGTCATTGCTGTTCTAGAGTCACAATGAAATCTGTGTTTATGCAAGTAGGAGCATGCAGAATCCAGAGGTAAAAATCACAGTGGTATTGTCTATTAAAAAAAAAATAAATAAATAAAAAAGGTGTTTCAAATCACACTGTAAAACCAGAAACTCCTAGGCCTGCTTATCAC